AAATTATATAAAAATGTACTTCCAAGGTTCACAGTGAACACTGGAACTTAAAGATCTTGATCCCCTTGCTTTTGAGGCACTATACCATAAATACTTATACAGGGAAAAGCTTCCTGACTGCAGCCTGGTCTCTCTTTCACCCAGAACAGTTTACAAGTCCTGGCTTTGTCATGCAGTTTAGGGTCCTGAGAAGTTAAACTTTATTAGCTTAAGCCTTCTGTTTCTCCCCTCTCTGGTCTACCCCATGCATCACAATCAGGGTCTTCTATCCCCTTTAGGATACAGTTAAACATCCCTCAGTATGTAGGCTGGACATATAGCTTAATTGGTAGAGTGCTTGGTTAGCATGAACAAAAGCATGGGTTCACTGGCAGCTGATCACTGCTGGGTGAAGGAGAGCTGGTCTTCTTTCTTTTTTAATGTATATTTTTATTGAATTTTTTGTGTATTTCACACAATAAATCTTAATCTTATTTAGAGCCCTCCCCTATCCACACCCTCTCATATTCCCCACCACCTGATTTCAGGCATTCTGTCATATATGTTAAGGTCTTTTGAATCAAACTTTTGTACCCAGATGTCCCTCAGCACGAATTCATCCACTGGAGTCTAGTCAGCCTATCTAGAGTCACTCCCTAAAAGAAGATCAATTCTCTTTCACTCAGTAGTAATCAGTTGCCAGTAGTTTCTTGGCTAAGGTTGGGGCCTACTGCCCATTTCCCCAGTTCTATGCTGGGTTTTCGACTGATTGAGTCTTCATGGGTCTTGTGCATGCTATCAACTTTGCTGCAAGTTCCCAGAGGCCTAGAAGACTCTTGTTTCCTTATGTTCACGCACCATCCCTGACTCTTAGAATCTTTCTGCCCTCTCTTTTGCAATGGTCCCTGAGTCCCGTGAGGTTAATATAGGAGTCCTATCCAGGGACACGCACTCTGCAGTCTCTTATTTTCTACACCCTGCCAAGTTGTGGCCTTCTATGTTACTAGCCTCTGTTTTCTGAGGAAGTTTTGCTGGAGAGAGTTGAGGGATGTATTAGTATTTTCTCTACCCCCTGTTCCACTATGTTCCATGAGCCATAGGTGCAGAGATTTGGCTATAGATGTGTCACTTTGTGCTAGGCATCTCTCAGGCACATAGTTTCTGTATGCAACCAGTTGTGGAACTCTGTAATAGCCCCCATCTGTTGCAAAAAGAAGATTCTTTGGTGACAGGTATATTTGTAAATATAAGAATCCATATTTAGCATACAGTAAGAAATTATGATTGTCTAGAGATATGATAGAGATAGGGTTTTCTCTAGGATCTGTGACCTCTCCAGCTATGTGCATTTGGCTATGTTTACAGCGCCGCCTATGAGTGCCCTCCCATTAAGAGGACTTTAAGTCCAATTGGATAGCTGTTGATCACCTCCAAGATAAAAGTGCCACTACTGCACCACTGTAGTTTGTTGTACCGGTCATTGTTGTGGTTATTAGGCTTTAAAGCTGGGGTTGGATAATTGATTGATTTTTCTCCGTTAGCAACTTGCATAGCATCCTCTAGAACTATGAGAGTTAGTCTTCAGGGAGGAGGCTTCCAGGTCAGTCTTCCAGGTCTTCCAGTTCTCTTGCTCCATTGGTCTTCTTTGAGGGGATGGTACCAAATAGGTTGAACAGGCTCCAGTGAATGAACTCACACAGAGTAACATCTGGGGACACAACCTTGACTCGATAGACCTTAACATATAATATATGCCAGAATGAATGAAATCTGGTTGGGGGACAATGGAGGTACAGATAGAGAGAAGATCTAAATATGATGAATATGAAATACAAAAAAATTACAAAATATATATTTTTAAAAAGCATGGGTTCAAGACCCAGAACCACATAAAGCAAGAATGGTAGTACACACCTATAATCCTAGTACTTGGAATGTGGGGACAGGAGGATCAGAAGTTCAAAGTCATGCTTAGCTATATAGTGAGCTACAGGACAGCCTTGGGTATGTGAGACAGAGACAGAAATGCTCATTTCCTTGTCTATAAAATGGTTTTTAGAGTTACAGCAACCTCTTAAGAATTACTGTGAAACTTAAACAAGACAATGTATGAGACATGTTTATCACCGAACCTAAAATGTTATCAGTGTGTAATATTTTTATTTTGTTGTTAATATTTCAGAGTATATTCACATGGAATAAGGTGTGTTTAACATTTAATTATTTATATTAGTAAACACAACACAGTCATTTTAATTTAGCCTTAAAATTCTCCTCACTGAGGTTTACTTTCCTACCTATATTTTTATCCAGGATCTTGTGAATATTTTTCACAGACTCCCCAGAATTGTTGAATCTCCCCTTAGACCACTGCTGTGCTTCACCAGAACAGATATGCTTTGACTTGTTTTATATTCTGGGTTTCCAAATATGTTTTCCTTAAAGAAAAAGTTATTTTTAATATTTTATTTATTATTTTTATTTTATGGGTATGAATGTATTGTCTCCACATATATAAGTGTACCCATGACATGCACTGCCCATGGAGGTCAGAAGAGAACATCGAATTCCCCTGGAATTGGAACCCAGGTCCTCTGCAAATAGCTCTTAACCACTGAGCTATCTTCAGCCCCAGAAAGAGGGGTTTTTTTGTTTGTTTGTTTTTTTGTTTTTGTTTTTGTTTTTTTGTGGGGGAGCTTTTTGAGACAGGGTCTCCCTGTAGCCCAGCTGTCAGAAAGAGTTCTTTAGATAACACAGACACTGGAAATACTTTGCAATTCTAGTATGATATTTAGGAACAAGGAAGCCCAAGAATGATGTTATAATCAATATAGTTGAAAAATTGATTAAATCTTCCTGAGATCTTCCTATTACTATTTTAGATAGATACTACATATTTTCCTGCTTGGAGATAGAAACCTGAAAAAATTTTAACTCCTTCATTCTTCAAATTTCCTTTTCTCAAATATTGTATTCTATGTAAAAAAATCTTGTTTAAAGCCAGGTGTGGTGACACATAACTTTAGTCCTAGCACTTGGGAGGCAGAGGAACATGGATCTCTGTGAGACCAAGTGTCACAGTGAGTTCCAGGCCAGCTGGGACCCTGACTCAAAAAAATAAAAAAGCATATATATACATATATATTTTTTAGCCACATCCTTACATGTTTCTTACTGTTCCTTTCTACCCTGTATTTTCCACTTTCATTTACTAAAACTTAGGAAGACTGGGGCATAGAATAGTTTCCATGGCAACTAGACTTAGTACCAAGAAGATCATGACAGTGTTTTCCATCCCTTGTACCTACAAGCCTCACAAGCAGAAGCTGCATTCCTGTATCAAAGGCCTATCCCACTCCTGGCAAACTGTCTCCCAAGGCCCCAGCCAGGCATATGGGATGTAGAGAGTGCATGTGGCTAAGCAGATGTCTTATTAAGCAAGCTGAAGCTGGGCCTGGCACAGGGGTACAGGCACATGCTGCGAAGCCTGATGACCCAAGTTCCATTCCTAGAACACACATGGAGGAAAGAGGAAACTGAGCCCTGAACGTCATCCTCAGACCTCCCCTTGTGCACCATGCCATGCCCATGTATACACACACACACACACACACACACACACACACACACACAGCTGAAGCTGAGATGCTGTTTTCTTCTTCAGAGAATAGCTCTCACATGAATGCCAGAAAATTGTTTTTCAAAGCAGATCTACTGAGCACACATATCTGCATCAGAGTAAAACGCGCTTCCTGAATTCAGTAGGCTCATCTTAGGGATCAGGGTCACCAGGGGAAAGGTGGCTTCTCCTTTCCTACTCCTTTGGCTCAGTATTGAAGATACTGAAGATCTTTTCACACACCTGTCTGCTTCTCCATCCTCTGTAGTTCTAAGAACATCAGACATGCATTTGCACATTGCTGTCAAGCCCTGAGCATTTCTCTGGCCCTATCCTACATGGAATCCTTATGCAATCTATTTAGTCCTCCATTATGAGAATTTAAAAATTATCATCATTCTTGCTTGACCCAGGAGTGATGTCATAAATTAGTCCAAATCAGCAGATACAGAAAGACACAACTCCTGGCTAATAGCCTCTGATATTTCAAAGTAGGTCATAGTTGTTTATTTCCACTCTGACCTGACCACTTCTCTGTGAAAAATTGAGAAAAGAGAGGAAAAAAAAAAAAAAAGAGGCCAAGGTAGAGCTAGAAGAATGCATTCCATGAGTCTCCTGAGGCTGTTGTAAGTAAGCACCACAAATTTATTATGTTTTAGTTATCACCGGTAATGGGTAGAAGCCCAAAAGAAGTTTCAATAGGCTGACATCAGTGTGTCAGCAGAGCTGTATTCCTTCTCTTGTCAAGCATTCTCCAGCCTTTTCTAGCTCATAGTTCCTTCTCCAACTTCAGAGTCAGGAGTGGTCAGCCCCTCTCCCCACTTCTGAACACCCTGCTTATGCCCCCTCTTCTTCATTTAAGAACCCATAGGATTACATTGGGCTCACCAAGATAATCCGGGATAATCATTTTATTTTAAGTTAGCTAATTAGCAGCCTTAATTCCACCTTCCTCTTTAATGCCTCTGACATCTAGCAAAATATATTCACCACTTTTAGGGAATGGTTGTCTTTGGGAAAGAGAGACATTATTCTGCCTACAAGTATAAATTCAAAGCCAGGGTTAAAACATGAGAAATGTGGTATTTCTCTAAGTACATAACAATGGCACTATCCAAAGTTAAATAAACAAGGGAACTATTTGGGAGAAGGAAGGGGAACAGCAGGAGGGAAAAGGAGGATTCAGAGGTAGTGAGGGAACAAATGTGAGTAAAGTACAGTGACCCATATGTGTGAAACTATAATGATTAACCTTATTCTGTATGCCAACTAAAAAAATTAACTAGAAAGCTTTTTCCTTAATGCCAAACCAACAATCTTAAGGTATCAGATACTGAAGGTGATTTTGCTAAATCTGAATTGTGCTGGTCCTGCAGTTGTTCTGTAAACCCTTTGCTTTCAGTTTCTAGATGGTAAAGAAATAAAGAAACTGAATGTCCAATGGCTGCGAGCACAACTGGGCATTGTATCCCAGGAGCCCATCCTATTTGACTGCAGCATTGGAGAGAACATCGCCTATGGAGACAACAGCCGGGTCGTGTCCCAGGATGAGATCGAGAGGGCGGCCAAGGAGGCCAACATCCACCAGTTCATCGAGTCGCTGCCTGATGTATGTCTCTTGGGGCCAGTAATGAACAGCCTCTTTCACCTATTCTTTTATCCTTCCACCCTCCCCCAACAATTCTGGGGATGAAACCCAGGCCATTGCACATGGTAGCCAAGTGTTCTGCCACATACAGCCCTAGGCCTGTCATTAAAAATCTAAAGGACAGCCAGACATGGTGGTATGCAGAGGCAGGTATAGCGCTGTGCGTTTGAGGCCAGTGTGCTTTACATTGCTAGGTCCAGGCCAGGGAAGAAGGAAGGAAAGGAGGGCGAGAAAGAGGGGAAGAAGAAAAAGAGAGAGAAACGAATGAAGTCTTGCCAGGTCTGGTGACGCACACTTTTAGTCCTAGCACCCAAGAGGCAGAGGCAAGTGGATCTCTGTGAGTTTGAAGCCAGCCTAGTCTACATAGTGAGTAGCTGGGGCTACAGGGAGACCCTAAAAGTAGAGAGAAATTAGCAACCAAAATATATCTTACCAGTATGGAAGCATCTGGCCTACTTTTTTTTTGTTTGCCTGATTTTGGTTTTTTGAGACACAGTTTCCCTCTAGCCCCAAATGGCCTGCAACTTGCTACATAGAGCATGGTGGCCTGTATCTCAGAGATCGCCCTGCCTCTGCCTCCTGAGTACTGGGATTAAAGGCATGCACCACCATGCCTGGCTAGCCCTACTTTCTATCTCAGATGTTATGTTTACCTGCCTGTCACTGTGTGTCACTGTGAGGAAGGAACAAAATATTAGACACATTCAGGTATAAGAGACAGTAACTTTGATAACTGTAGCAGTCCTTTAGCTTTTAGGCTTGAGAGTCCACCCATTTCAGTCCTAGGGAAAATAATGTTGCCTACGTATACAGATGGCACATCTCACTTCTGTTTTCCTAGGCACACCCTTACTCATATTGAATAGGTAGTGACAATTGCCTGCTGTGGGAAACAGTATAGGAAGAATTTTGAAAGGACCGTAAAACAAAACAATAATCTGAGACAGGGTCTCACTACGAAGTTGTGACTGGCCTATGTAGACCTCAGATTCACAGACATACACCTGCCTCTTCCTTTCAAGTGCTGGGATTAAAGGCATGCACTGCTATGCCAGCAAAACACAAAAAGTTTTGAAGAATGCTTCACTTTTCAAAGTTAGATCTTAAATTAGAATTCCTTAACATCCATTAAAAATTATTTAATTGTTGGCAATAGCTTCACAAAAACAGACATCAAAATGCTAATATCCTAAGAATTTCTTTTTTTTCTTCACTTTAAAATACTGCATGGGGCATCACCTGCAAGTTATGAATAAGATAAGCTTCAGTTATTATATATAGCTCTTTAAGTTTCTTTTCTCCTCCAGTCTTGTCCTAAGTACCGTGAACTAGACAATGGAAGATAATAGCAGTACAGTATTCGTACACACAGCAGCCTGGCTGACTCACACTAAAACATACGATTTTAAGATGCCAGGCTCTGTTTTCAAAAGAGAGCTTGAAACCAGGTATAATGGCACACATCTCTCATTCCAGCACTTTTAAGGCTGAGACAGGATGAGTTCATGGCCGTGGTGGGATGCCTGGTAAGTTTGAGGCTTCCCTGAGATATGTAGTGAGAGACCATAGTGAGGGGATGGTGGGGGTGTGATATGGTCAGCAACCAAATCTGACAATCTGCCTGAGTTTAATCCCCTAACTATTTTAAGTTCTCCTATGACCTCCAGGTGTGCATACACATACCCCAAACACCCACACGCAAAATAAGTATTTAAACATAATTTTAAAAAGAAATTAAGTCTACCATTTTAGAACTTTTTGTTATTTAATTCTCTGTGAACCCATTTTAGGTTCTGAATCTAAATTTTTCTAATTATAGTATTAGAAAATTATATATCTGTGAGCAGACTGTGTTTGAACTTTGTTGTCAGCTCTAGTCTCATACAACCAAATTCTCTTCACAGAAATACAACACCAGAGTAGGAGACAAAGGAACTCAGCTGTCCGGTGGTCAGAAGCAACGAATCGCCATAGCCCGTGCCCTTGTTAGACAGCCTCATATTTTGCTTCTGGATGAAGCAACATCAGCTCTGGACACAGAAAGTGAAAAGGTAAGGATTTAAGTTCGTTTTTTCATACTTCACTCAGTTGTCCTTAAAAGGTGTAAATTTTCTGTGCTGTAGTAGACAACATTGGGCCAGATGGCTGATTGTTGCTATGTCAGCTCCCAGTGCAATTTAAAGACTGTAGCTGCAGCCTGGGAGACCTTTAGCCACACAAGGCACATTAGTCTCAGAGCCCATAGGCTTCACAACCAGCCCTGTGTCCCTGTGTTGAGCCCACAAGGCACATGCTAGCTGAATGCTGCCCGCTCCTGCAGACAACATCTCCACAGCAACCATGTGAAAAGGTGGGGGTGAGATAGGGTTCAATCTGGCAGTGCCATGAGACAGATGTTGACAGTGCTTTTCAGTTTGAGAAAAGGTTAAGGATCCAGCTAGCTGAAAGACGGGCAATGAGGAGATGCTTTCTACCTGCCGTGATGGCCTTGGCTTGTGCTCTGGCTTCCCAAATTTGCTGTGGAGCTGGACTAGATGGCTGCTTTTAGGAATTTGAACATAAGACACATAGATGTTTTTTAATGACTTGATGGACTATATTGACACTGTAACCTTAAAAATAGATATATCCTGTCTCAGAACTAAGCCAAACTGAGGTTGAGTTCTTTTGTAGTGTGACAGATACATTTGTTTCTAAACTCCACTTTATTTCACCAACAGTACTGTTTAAGGACAGAGTACACAAATTGTGGGGTTTGTTATGGAGGGGGAACTATAGTGAGAGAACTGTTTTTATCATAATCAGTTTGTGTGATTGTGAAACAGGTTGTCCAGGAAGCCCTGGACAAAGCCAGAGAAGGCCGCACCTGCATTGTGATCGCTCACCGCCTGTCCACCATCCAGAACGCAGACTTAATCGTGGTGATTCAGAATGGCAAGGTCAAGGAGCAGGGCACCCACCAACAGCTGCTGGCCCAGAAAGGCGTCTACTTCTCAATGGTCAGTGTGCAGACTGGAGCAAAGCGCTTGTGACCTGTGACTTTGTAAGATGTGAAATACTTTTTTAATATTTGTATTAAAATATGACATTTAACAAAAGTTTAAAAGAAAACAGTTACCAAATAGCTAGTTACCTATTTAACATTTGTTACAATAAAAAGCATTTAGTCAAGTTTAGTCTTCAGGCAATTCATAATTAAAGGAACAGAAATAGATACATCATCAAATGAAGGTTAACTGTTTTAATTGCATTATAAAATCCATCAAAGAAGTATAAATAAATGTTTGATAGTATGTAATTTTATTTATACCTTCTCATTTGTAACTAACTGATTGCTTGTTAAACAATTATGTGTTTGAAATGTTTGTATAAAGTATATATAATGAAACTGAACTTTCATTTGAGTTATCTTGTCTAAAATGAATGTGAATGTACATATTCTACCAACTGAAATATTGAAGGTATTTTTAGCTTTTAAAAAAATAGGATAAGGAGCTGTGAAGATAGCTCAGTGGGTTAAGTGCTTACTGAACAAACGTGAGGACCTGAATTCAAGCCTACAGCATTCACATAAGCAACCAGGTGTGGTAGCACAAATCTTTAACTCCAGCCAGAGACAGCAGAAACAAGCAGATCCTGGGGACTCACTGCCAGTCTAGCCAAAATAGCAAGCTCCAGAGAGAGAGGCAAATGAAAAAGTCATCCCACTGTCAACTCATGGCCTCCACACTTGTCTGCATGGGCAAGTGTACTTACACATACACATTTGCACTCACACAGATGCCACACCATGCACACACACACACACACACACACACACACACACACACACACGGGGGAGGGATTAAAGAGCTAGCAATAGGAAAGGAAGAAGGCATACTCACAGAATAGTATGAAGCTGTCAGCTTTGGTCAGAGAAGCTTCATTATGAAGTGATCAACGGTGACTGCAGAAACTCACAATTATTCTAAGTACTGAGAACATAGGACTGTTGAATGTCCAGCCTCAAATGAGATGTCTGTAGCACCCCCTCCAAGGCTCAGGGAACAATACTGAAGAAGGGTCAGAAAGAATGTAAGAGCCAGAGGAAGAAGTGGGGAGAGGTATGGAATGCTGGCTTACAGACATTACATGGTTGTTATACTCTTAAACTTACAAAAACTGTGATTACCTGCACAAGATCTGCACAAGATTAGGCCCATCAACACCCTGACTTTGGGGTGGGGGAGGAATTATGGGGCCTCACCCATAAGAATTTATATCTAGCTAATGGTTGATTGGGGGAGGGAAAGCCAGTATAGCCACTGATAAGGTATCCCTGCTCCTATAAACAAAACCTCACCCATGCTCATATAAACAACTTACTGAGTCACATTTTAAAAAGGCATTAATGAGCGGGGGAACTGGAAAGAAAGAAGTTGGCTTAACAGGAGTGGGAGGCAGACAACAGAGGGTAGCAGTGAATATGATCAAAAGACACTGTCTGCATGTATGAAAATGCCATAGTGAAATCCATTATTATGAATAATTAATATATGCTAAATAAATTTTTTTTGGTCTTTTTGAGACAGGGTCTCCCTGTGGCTCCAGCTGTCCTAGAACTCACTATGTAGACCAGGCTGGCCTTGAACTCACAGAGATCTGCCTGCCTCTGCCTCCCAAGTGCTGGGATTAAAGGTGTGCACCACTGCACCTGGCTCTAAATAAAATATTTTTAAAAGCAAGAAAGCAAATCATCCCTATTTGTAGACAGTATGATCCTATAATTGTAGTTCTTTATATACCAATAAAGAACATGCTGAAAAAGAAATTAAGAAAATAATCCTATTCACAATAGCCTCAAAAACTAAGGTGGAGGGACTACAGAGATGGCTCAGTTGTTAAGAGCACTGGCTGCTTTTGCAGAGGACTCAGGTTTGATTCTCAGCACCCACATGACAGCTAACAACACAACAGTCCATAATTCCAGTTCCAGTTGAATTTGATGCCCTCTTCTGACCTCCACAGGCATTGCATGACCTGGGTACACTCACATACATGTAGGCAATACACTCATACATGTAAAAAATAATAAATAAAATTAAAAAAAATAAGATGAAGAAGGCCGGGCATGGTAGTGCATGCCTTTAATCCCAGCACTCAGGAGGCAGAGGCAGGTGGATCTCTGTGAGTTCGAGGACAGCCTGGTTTACATAGTGAGTTCCAGGTCAGCTGGAGGTACAGGGAGACCGTCCACCACCCCACCCCCAAACCCCAAGGTTAGCCTCTGGCAACCCAGGAGACTAATAAATAAATAAATAAATAAATAAATAAATAAATAAATAAATATGATGGAGAGCAAAAAGAAGATAGCTGAGGTTGACCTTTGGCCCTTATATGTATGTGCATAGGTTAGCATACCCCCCACATACATGCACATGCATACACCATGCATTCAAGTATCTATAGTGTGGCTCTCCTTATTCCTTGATTTGGTCATTAATATAAACTTCTTCAGCCAATATTTAATAATGTTTTTTAAATGCATGTCTTAGAGCAATTTAGTTAAACACATAGAAGAACAATTATTATACCATTACCTAATGATGTAGAAGACTGGAAACATCTAAATATTTAACAGTATGAAGCTATACATGAAATGTTTCTGCATTAGAACTCCATGTAATCATTAAGACATTAAATGAGAGAGATAGAAGTGCCAAACACTTGGGCTTCTTCACAAAAAAAGAACAAAAATTTCTTTGTTCCAGAGTAACAAAAAGGTATATTTTGAGGTAGTATCATCCAAATACAGCAAGAGATTTTGAGACCAGAAACCCGTGATAATGGGCAAAGTCAGTGAAATAAAGCAGATTTAACCAGTGTGCTCTTTCTCCAGCTGAAAGAAATTCCCCAGTTGAGGAGAAAAGGAGTCCTAGCAGGCCCCATTGTTGTGGATGCAGAGGCCAAAACCCTAGGAACAGGTGGGACAGACTTGATGCCAAGGTCAAGGACGTTCCTTGAGTTTTCACTCTGACTTTGCTGCAGAGAAGGGACTTGTATTGTCCTCCATTGAACTCCCAGAGTCCAGGCTGCTCTAGTGTGGGTCTAATACTGGGAGCAGAGCAACAGGGCCACAATCTATTCAAGTCACACAGTCAGTTGAACTGCTACCCTTATTGGCCCAAGGCATGTAGACAGCACAAGCCCCCACCATTACTGGCCTGAACTTCCACCCTCTGTCACTCTGGGCCAAAGTATGTGTTCTACACATTCCATCTCCTGCCATCACAAATATCTCCTAGTCACTAGAAAGTCTACTTGCCCATGTTGTGCTACAACTGTTAAAGAAACATTCATTCTTTTCCAAACTTCCAGTAAGACCTGACCTGACCTGGCCATATGCTGAGCGCTCTGTCCTACCATTGCACATGTTAAACCTGCACTAAACCTCCTCCCCCACACAAAAGGGCTCTCCTACCCTGCGACCATACAAACTGCTTGCAAAATTTGGTAACAGTCAAAGAAACTTTAGGGTGACTATCCTGGGGTGCCCAACTAGAACTAAAACTAATATAATTTTAAAAGCAACACCCCATGATATGTCTTTAAAAAAGCCAAATAGTTGCCGGGCGTGGTGGCACACACCTTTAATCCCAGCACTTGGGAGGCAGAGGCAGGCGGATCTCTGTGAGTTCAAGGCCAGCCTGGTCTACATAGTGAGTTCCAGGACAGCTGGGGCTACAGGGAGACCCTGACTCAAAAAGACCAAAAAGCCAAATAGTAAAAGTGATAGAAGCAACTGATATGCATTAATATGAATGTAGCACTGGTAGAAAAAAAGAAAGCATGATGCCTCCAAAATAACACAGTAACTCTAATGATAGATGTATAAGAAAAGGGCATTGATAAAATGGTTGATAAAGAACTCAAAAGAAGGGCTGGAGAGATGGCTTAGCAGTTAAGAGTACTGACTGCTCTTGCAGAGGACCTGGGGTTCGATTCCCAGCAACCACATGGTGGCTAACAACCGTATGTCATAACTCCAGTTCCAGGGGATCTGATGACTTCTTCTGACCTCTACAGCCATTGCATGGCATGGATATATTTACATACATGCAGGCAATACACTCATACACATAAAATAAAAATAATAAAGTTTTACCAAAGAAAGAGTTCAAAAAGAATGGTTATAAGGAAACTAAAATTCCAAGTCCTGAAAGAAAAACTACTTACCAGTCATGAATACTATACCAAGCAAAACTATCTTTCATAATAAACAAGAAAGACTCAAAGACAAGCCAAAGCAGAGCGAACTCTACAGCAGATCAATCTCATCAATAAGCTTAAGGGAGTCTTGTGCCAAAAAAATGAAGACTACCCACATTCATGAAGGCATGTGGATTGTGTCTAGTGCTACATACCTGTCATCCAGCATTCAGGATGCTGATGAGGGAGTGAGAGTTTGAGGCTTGCCTGGGATACAAGCTGTGGCAGTTTGTTACATAGTTCAGTTTGGGTTACATAATGGTTTCTTCTTTCACAGAAACAATAGGAAATAGAAAAGTAAAGACGTAGAAGTATAAAACCCATAAGAAGAACAGATGCACAAAAGAAAAATCAGAAAATAGTCAAACTTTATCATACAATTAGCCATCAAAAATGAACAGAGGCAAAAGTAAAGAGTATTCAATAATTCACAAAATCAACACAATGACAGGAGTCTTGACCCATCAAAAATGGCTTTGAGTATAAATGGACTAAATTCCCCAATTAAAAGACATACATTGACTTACTTGGAGTGGGAGTTCCGATTACTGCCTACAGAAACTCACTTCACCAGCAAAGGCATACAAACTGAAAATGAAAAAACAGAAAAAAAAAAAATCCTATGCAAATGGAAAACAAAGCAGGAGTAGGTCCACTATCAAATAGATGAGATGTAAAGACAGGAACTGTAGGCATCAAAGGAGATCACTCTATAATGCTCAAGGGATTAAGCAAGACAGTCGCACAGTTTTAAACAAATGTGCAACTAATGGCAGAGCACCCAGTTTTGTGAAACCAACACTGTTTGTCTGTGAGTCTGTTTGTTTTTGAAAGAGTTTTGCATGTAGCCCAGGCTGGCCTTGAAGATATGATCCTTCTGCCTGAGTCTCAAGTTCTAGAATGACAGGGATGCATCACCCAACCCTGCTAACACAGACATTATTAGATCTAAAGGGAGAAATACGCTAAAAAAGAATAGTAGTGGGGGATTTCAGCACCCCACTGTCATCAAAGTGCAGATTATACAGACAAAAATATCAACAAAGAGATATCAAATGTTAATTATAGACTGTAGGAGAGGAAGTGCCAGGCCTAAGCACAGGCCGAACTAGAGAACACAGCTTCCACC